AAATACTAAACAAGCGCACATAGCGTATTCATTTACAGCATCGGATTTTAAAACAATGACTCGTGGAATAACAAAGAAACTGTTAAGTATGTATTTCACACATTACCGAGGACCGCGGTAGAGACCAGTACAGCGGTAGAGACCCCTAATTATAAGCAGTCCGCGGCTCTCCCCGGCGTTCTGCGGCACACCGCGGTAATGACCGCGGTGCACCTGTTATCTATATTTTAAAATTGTCTTTTGAATATGTTCCACTATTAACAATTCTACAAAATGTTAACAGTCTTTAGCCAAGACTGTTTGGATAATAAAAAGCCCCAAAAAAAATTCACTCCCAAGTGCCCACGAACCTGCATCTCTACGTTAAGTAAATAAAAATTGCAAAAAAAGACTTCTTAGTTTGGATAACAAAATTACGACATCTGGAGAAAACAGCCAACATGTGATAATCATGTAACTATCATGCAAAAAAATACCACTCACCTGTTGTAATATCTCTGGATGAACTTCTAATATTCTTAAGAAACTTTCATTTTCTTGGATGGCATTTGCTCGCTTTTTACTATTTTTAGATAGTCTCTTGAATAGATAGGTAACTATATGGTCCAGAATAGCACAGCAACCGGTACAAACCATGGTATCTGCAGAGAAATAATGGTGTGTATAGACAACAGTTATTCAGTGTCAGCGTAAACCTTTTGTTATTGTTACATGTTTTTTTTGCCAACAGAAGTATGAGAAAATACTGTGAAGCATTCGACTTCACAGGGTATTCCAGCAATTCATGAAAGCAGTTGAAAATCCATTGCAATCATTATCAGTTCGACCTTTGACCTTTTGCACACCAAAGTCCCCTTCCATAAAATGTTTGTGGGTTAGGAGTGTATTTCATATAAACCTTGCGAGTGCTATAACATCAAATTACAATAATTTTTTAACAGCAAAAATGGTATTAAAGTTGCATGTATTATAAGTGATAGAAGTAATGGATCATAGAAGGGTGAAAAATGGCCAGAGACAGACGGACGGACGGACGGACGGACGGACGGACGGACAGACGGACAGACGGACAGACGGACAGACGGACAGACTGGACAGACGGACAGACGGACAGATGGACAGACAGGACAGACAGACAGACAGACAGACAGACAGACAAAATGGTAAAATCAGAGTGCAGACATTTACACCACAGACATTTTCAAGATTTAAACACATAAAGTAACTATTATGTGACTTAATCTAGTCTTAAATTTTGATATTATATGATGTCAATCACCCTAAACATATCTGTAATGCAACACCCATCATCTGGAGAGTGAAAAAAAACAGTACGGTACTGCACCTAATGTAACTTACCTAATGCTACAAGTCCTTCTGAAATTGATGAAAGTATATACAAGAAAACTGTTGGTTCTAGATTGGCTATAAAATTCATATGATCCTGAGCCAGGCACTCTAATAAGGCATAATAAGATTGACTCAACTTGGGATAGTCCTTGGGAGCAAGAAGAGCATACAGGTTAGAACAGGGATGTAATCAACAACAAACAAAAATAAAATCAGTTTTCTACATATGGCACCTGGTCTTTGAACTAACTAGGTTGAATTGATATTAAAAAAACAAACATGTATTTCAGTTGCCATGCCTACAGTATACTTTGGTATAGCATGGATACATTGGGGTCCACTGTGATGATACAAATACTGCCCTCTGCAGGTGAATTCCAAGTAACTTGGCTCATGATTTGTCAAAATATCAAGTTGTCTAGGAACCTGAACCATACACAAGTATACATTGTATGATCATTGTATTAAACAGATTTTATGATTAATATTTACAACAATTAAAAGATCAGAACAAGGACAAGCTTTTAATTTTATCTTCTTTCGTAATTTATTTATTTAGCTTCTCATCAAGTAAATTTCTTTTCAATCAAGTTTACAACGCAGACAACGGAAAGAGAGAATTGTACTTACCAAAAGGTCACTATGTGGAATGGAAAGAAGAAGCTTAACAAACGTCTGTAATGCGTTATCCAGTGCACTATCACCATACAGTTGAAAGACACCAAAATTTACATAATTGCCACAGAGCGCCGCTTTCAACATATTAAAACATACAGATATTCCTTTTAATGTGGGACTGAGTTAGGGAAGAATATACCGGAATGAATTACTGAAGTTAAAAAATCCAAATCAATGCCTTACAACGTTTTTAACTAATCTCATCATAATCTATCACAATCTAAGCAACATTAAATACATTTTATTTAAATCTCACCATAACCATAATCTACCATTATTGCATCATAATCTACCATTATCTCATCATAATCTACCATTTTCTCATCATAATCAACCATTATCTCATCATAATCTATCATTATC